AAAAGATACGGGAGTGTTTCTGTGGCAGCCCCCCCGCTGCAACTGCACTCCATGGGCTTTACCGGAATTGACGGCGATGTCAAAAAGTTTCCCCATACCTGAGATTGTGTTGCCAGAAGAAAATCAGTTTAAGAAACCCACCTGGCAACCAGGAAGATTTTAAATAACCGCAATTCATCCGCTAATTTTTGGAATGAAAGTCCAAATTAGAATGTCCTGCATGCAAGATTGTTCTCAGGGATAGTTTACACGTCTTGCATAATCAACTACTAAAAAAACCCAGAAAATGAATTTAAAGCTGCAGTGGGAAATAGGCTGTAACCTCTTTGAACCTTAGCTACTTATTGCTTATATATACGCAGTTATTTGTGTTTCTGACCCAACAAATGTAAAAAATACGGTGCAGAATGAAGATTTTTTTTTTTTTTTTTTTAAACTGGCTGTATTAATTCCTGCATGAGTCACTTCTTGAATTCATCCCCATTTTCCCCCTTACAAGCAGGAGGCCTGAGTAGCAGGAGTGGAGCAACAGCCTAGAATGCCAAGGTAAGAGCAGCCTTTTACAGGAGGTGAAGGATCCAAAAAGCAGTGGCAGGAAGACAGAGTGGGTTATCTTATCTTGAGCAGTACCGTGTAGTCACGGCTGATTGAGACGAGGAGGTCTGTGTCTGGATGGCATCTAAATTTTGAGTTGTCCTAGGGAGCACTTAGAGCCTTCAGTGTCTTAATTCTGGCCTCAAACTTGGAATGGAATATACTTACAGAACTTGTTCTCCTTATCCCCTAAAAGCACGCTTTTAAGAGCAGGGGCTGCCCTTTAATGAACATGAAATCTTTAAAGCCATTTAAGATTAAAACAGCTCTAGGACATTTCCAGCAACGAGTCCAGCTCTCAGCGGTTCCAGCCAGCCTTGATGTTCACAGCTGCAGCTTTCCTACTTCTTGGATTTCCATGTTCCTCGAGGCTTGTTTTTAGACAATGAATGTTAGTTTTTACATGTTTAAATTTCCTTCCGAAGTAAGTTGCTTCCTGGCATATACAGTTAAAGTGAGGATCTATTTACAGTGCCTTTTAAGTTACAGATCCTCCAGAAAGCTTCAACACTCCAAACTTACACGTTACGGGTTGAAATTACTTGACGTAATCTGTATTACTTTACCATTGCCTTGCTTACGCTAGAAAAGTCATCTCTGTGTTGAGGACAAGAGCTGTGGTCCATGCAGTAGAGTAGATATCTGAATTTATTATGAATCATGTTTTTGTCCATAAAGCCAGGACTGAGTTGAAGATGAGCACACTGCCCATTGACTCCAGTGTTAAAGGCAACCTCTTGCAGTTAAGCGTTGTTTAATACTTTTATTTATCCCCGAAGCACTGCCAGATGCTGGATTGTACCGCGAGCACTAAGGCGTTAGCCCTGGCATTTGCACTTTCATTCTGTACGTGACCAATGGTAGAATGCAAGAGTAGGCAAAGTTTTGTGCCTTGATGGGGTTTGGGTTTTTTTGTTCCGTTGCATAAAAGCGCATCGCGATCTGTGGCTGTTCTATTATCTATTTAATAGTTTTTATTCTGCTTGCCGTGGGTTTACATTGTACTGTATAATGTGAAATTTTAACAGACTGACTTGTATCTTGAATGTAATAAATTGGTAACTGGAGAAGGCACTCAGGTTCCTTGATGTAAATAAAGTTTTGTTCTATTTTTCAAAGCTACTCTGGACTTCCGGGTTTAAAACTTACTCCTGTTTTGTCTACTGGAAAACTGGAACTATTTCTCTTCTGGTTTGGGGAAAGCCTCAAGAATTGATACTGAGGTTTTAGATCCCAAAGCTGAAGCTGGAAACTGGATTGTGGATTCTTAACTCTTACTTGAGCAGTCTTGTTTACATTACCGCGTGTGTGCCAAACGGGGGAAACGAAGGTGTCTGCAGTTGAGGGTAAATATCAAAAAAGCACATATTTTTTACCATATCATTTTATTCAACTTTAATATGGTTTCCATTATTAACTTCTAAAACAAAATGATTTCCAGTTTAGAAAACAATGCACTGACCACATAATTCCTTTTCCATTTTATACAGTTATACAAATATTCTAAATACACATTTTGTCAAGATGGTGGCAAATAAGATTTAACTGTACAGTACATAAGGAAAGAAAATATTTTAAGCATATTTAGAAGCAATAGAAATGTCTATACAAAACAAGCAAAAATGGAATAAAATTTTATATTTAAAGTATTGCAACAGTCCCACAGGTTTGTAACAAAAATGTCTTTGCACAGTTCCTCACAATGCCCCATTAATAGCTAAAGCAAGACAGCAATTTTTAGAAAATAATGTTTCAAAATGCTACACATGATACTACTGCTTGCACCGTCTGATCAAAATAACAATCTACTTGGAATCAAGCAAAACTTAGGAGGAGATATACCAACCAACTTTAAAATTATCTGTATAAAAGTCATTGCACATTATTTTACTCAGTTGTTTGAAAAGTAAAAAAGTGTATTTACAAAATATTTCGCAGACAAAATTATAAAGTGAATGGATAATATATAAGTAACACGTCTTGATACTGACAGTTCAAGAACACACACTAATGGTTTATCGTTTCAAGAGGTTTTCAGTGCTCCTTCCTCCAGGAAGTAAACCTGACTTCTACTTTGAAATGGATTTACAGGATGTTACACATAGCTATTTCAACATCAGCATTATAAAACAGTATGTTAGAAACATGAAAGAAAGAAGAAATTTGTACATCTTAAAAAGTGAGCTATTCGTAGATCAACAAATGTTTTTTTTTTTTTTAATTTAGTTAGGATAAGCGTTCATTATTCTTCAGATAATAAACCCAGCAGTTAAAATGGAAATCCTGGACTAGATGAGAATTGAAAAAGCACCATGCACAATAGTCTTAGTGTGGTAAACACTGAAGGAAAAAAAAAAAATAGCACCTGGAATCCTGTAACACAGATCATTTAAAACTGG